GGGGCCCGGCCACGCCTCGGGCGGGGCCGCGCAGGGCGGGGGGCAGGGGGGAGGGGCGGGGGGCGGGGCGGGGGCGCGGGGCGGGGCCGGGGGGCGCGGGGGGGCCCCGTCGCGCATCTTGGTCCAGCGCTCCAGGAGGTGCCGGTCGTCGTCGGTGAGGACCAGCCCCTGCAGCCCCTCCCCCCGGGCGCGGGGCTCGCGCCGCTCCCGCTCCCGCTGCTTCTTCTCGCGTTCCTTGGCGCGTTCCTGACGCCGGCGCCGCTTCTCCTCCCGCTCCCGCTGCCGCTCCGCCGCCGTCACCGGCTTGCGGCCCTCGGGGGCCTCCGGCGCCGCGCAGGGCGGCTCTGGGTGGGGGGGGGACACACCAAAGCCAAGGCGAGTCAACCGAGCTGAAGGCGACCGGCTCAACTCAACCCAACCCAACTCAACCCCAGCCCAACCAACTCAACTCAACCCAACTCAATCAAGCCCAACTCAACTCAACCCAACTCAATCAAGCCCAACTCAACTCAACCCAACTCAATCAAGCCCAACTCAACCCAACCCAACTCAACCGACTCAATTCAACCCAACCAATCACAACCCAACTCAACCCAACCCAACTCAACCAACCCAACCGAACTCAACCAACCCCAACCCAACCAACCCAGCCCAACCTCACCCAATCCCCCCAACCCAGAAGCCCCTGGGCAGACGCCCCTCCCCCCTCCCGGGCGCCCCCTCACCTTTGTTCTTGTTCCTCATGGCCGACTTGAGCAGCGCCGCCTTCAGGGCGGCCTTGGTGTCGTCGGAGATGGCGCCGTCGCGCTTGGGCGCCGGGGGGGCTCCCGGCTCCGCCTTCACCCGCGGCGAGTCCATGGGGCAGTCGGGGGCGGGGCCGGGGCTCGGCATGTCCACGTCGGCGCAGGGCGGCCACGTTGGGCCGTTGGGGGCGTTGGCCATGTTGGCGTTGGCCATGTTGACGTTGGCCACATTGACATTGGCCATGTTGACGCTGGCGTTGGCCATGCTGATGTTGGCGTTGGCCACGTTGACGTTGGCGTTGGCCACGTTGACATTAACATTGGCCATGTTGACATTGGTCACGCTGACGTTGGCGTTGGCCATGTTGACGCCGCCCACGTTGGCCGTGTTGACCCCCCCGTTGGCCAGGCCGCCCCCAGGGACCCCACCCCCGGGGGCCCCTCCCGAGGGCGCGAGGGCGATCTGCCGGCGGATGCCGTCGCGCCGGGCGTGGAAGTCGGCGATCTCGGCCACGATGGCCGCCTTGATCTCCTCCTTGGTGAGCGCCTGGCGGTCGAAGGCGAAGTCGAAGGCGGGGACGCACTCGGGCTCGTCCTCGGGGTCGTGGTACTTGGCGAGGAAGGGGTGGCGCAGCGCCTCGGCCACGCCCACCCTCTCGCGGGGGTCGAAGCGCAGCATCCGGCCCAGCAGCGCCAGCGCCGCCGGCTCGGCCGCGCCGAACAGGCTCTCCCAGGGCACGGGCGGGCGCGGCGGGAGGCTCTGCACGTAGGCGCGCACGCGCTCGGCGCCGATGGCCGCCATGACGCCGGCGGGCGGCGTGCCCAGCACCGCCATGATCAGCTGCAGCTGGTGCACGTAGTTGCGGCCCGGGAAGAGCTGGCGCCGGCCCAGCATCTCGGCGAAGATGCAGCCCACCGACCACATGTCGATGGCGCGCGTGTAGCGGTGCAGCGACAGCAGCAGCTCGGGCGCGCGGTACCAGCGCGTGGCCACGTACTCGGTGAGGAAGGCCTTGGCCTGGCGGGGGTCGGCGCCCAGGCCCCGCGCCATCCCGAAGTCGCCGATCTTGAGCTCGCAGTTCTCGTTGACCAGCAGGTTGGAGGGCTTGAGGTCGCGGTGCAGGACGTTGGCCGAGTGGATGTACTTGAGGCCGCGCAGCAGCTGGTACAGGAAGTAGCGGACGTGCTCCAGCGTCAGCGGCTGCGACGAGTGGATGATCTGGTGCAGGTCGCTCTCCATCAGGTCCAGCACCACGTACCTGGGGGGGGGGGGGCAAACGGGGCGGTTGGCCACGGCGATGGCCTTGACCGTGTTGACCTTGGCCACGTTGAGCTTGGCCCTGTTGACGTTGGCCACGGCGATGGCCTTGACCATGTTGACCTTGGCCATGTTGAGTTTGGCCTCATTGACGTTGGCCACGGTGATGGTCATGACCGTGTTGACCTTGGCCACGTTGAGCTTGGCCCCATTGACGTTGGCCACGGCAATGGCCTTGACCGTGTTGACCTTGGCCACGTTGAGCTTGGTCCCGTTGACATTGGCCACGGTGACATTGACCATGATAACGTTGACTCTTGGCGGTGGCCATGTTGACCTTGGCCACGGTGTCATCAACCACGGTGCCATTGGTCATGGTGACAATGTTGACCGTGTTGACGGCCTTGGCCATGTTGACCTTGGTCACTGACCTTGACCACATTGACCTCGACCACGTTGGCCTTGGCCACGTTGACCTTGACCATTGACATTGGCCACGTTGACCTTGACCATTGACATTGCCCACGTTGACCTTGACCATTGACATTGGCCACGTTGATGTTGACCATTGACCTTGACCATTGACATTGGCCATGTTGACCTTGGCCATTGACTACTGACCATTGACCACTGCCATTGACCTCATCGACCTCAGCCTCGTTGACCATTGACCACATTGACCGTAGACATTGACCATTGACTACTGACCTTGACCATTGCCCTCATTGACCTCGGCCGCGCCGACGCCCCCAGTTGACCCGCTGGGCTCCACCCCACGCGCCCTCCAGCCCCCCAGGGCCCCCCCCAGCCCCCCCCGGGGGACGCACACGGAGCGGAACTCGCCGTAGGGCCCCGTGGGCCGCAGGATGTCCTTGATGCCGATGATGTTGTCGTGCTTGAAGTGCTTGAGGATCTTCAGCTCCCGCAGCGTCCGCTTGGCGTTGGTCACCACGTCGAAGGCGTTCGGGATCTTCTTGATGGCCACCTGTTGGCCTGGGGGGG